GGGGAGGGCGGCGAGGGGTGGGGGCAGGGTGACAGATATTGCCCTGCCACTGACTGATGATTGACGGTCGCAGGCAGGGGGAGGAAAGGAGGCGGTGACAGCTGTCGGTCAACCTTGGACTCGCTACGCAGAGCGAGAGAGATTTGGACAAACGTTGGCCTGAATCCGCGTACATCGTCATTTTTGCATTCGCATTGTCGGCCGCTTATTTGTCCCAAACATAGAGGGATAAATATTTACTTCCGTTTGACCTGAGAGGATGGTCGACTCTGCACGCATCACATTTGCATGTTTTCAGCTCAGGGCCACTGGTGTAGCCAAGACAAATTTTGAAACACAGCACAGAGGAGGAAAAAAAAAAAAAACAGCGGACTTGAATGTTCTTTTCTGAAAGACTAGCAGGCATTACTTTTATTTTACCGTTGTTTGTTTCTTTGTGTGTGTGATGTGTCACTTTAAACCAACAAATTCAGTTTTAGTCACATATATTTTAGTTAAGCACGGCTGGCGAGTGGCGACTACGTCTGCTTCACCGTTCTGAGGTTTGAGGTTCGAATCGCTGCTTCACATGCTCTCCGGGGAAGATGAAATTTTCCATAGCTGTAAATGTGTTGATTTATTTACTTATTTATTCATTAACTTATTTTTGCTCTGTGATTGACTGACAAGCTGTCATGAAGCTCACTTACGACTCAAATGTGGATAAATGCTCGAGAAAATGAAGAGCTGGATGAACATATTGCTTTCATACCCACAATTTAAAAATGAATACCTACTTAGCACCTCTCAAATTCTACACAAATTTCGACTGCTTTTCCAAAACAACACCCTTTTGACCATTTGGATCTGCCGCACGTCACTTTTTAAAACGTCAGTTTGAGCCAGTGAATGATTGAAAGCAGCCGCATGAGTTGTTGAATTGATACAGACTGAAGTGAATGGAAACAGTCTGACGGAGAAAGAAAAAAAGTCTCCATTGAACGTACAATGTTGCTTTAGTTGGTTGCCGCCGAGGCATTTTTTTTAAAAATCTGCTAACTTTCGACATAAATGAGTTTGACAATTTAGACACGCTCAAGGTTTACGTGGGCGTAAAACTATTGGAATTCTGAATGAAGATGTGATCCATACTAGTCATTAATCTCCCGCTGGAATATTAAATTGGAGTCCAAAAGCCTCCTTTGGGGAATCTGCTCGTTGAAATACAGGCCACAACAAACATGCTTCAATTATGCCCGCTGGATGACTATTTTATTTTATTTTTTTTTCATGGACTTTGAGAGTATTGTTACCAGAAGACGGCAGCACCTCCCTTTTGGCTCTCCGCAGCTTGCATGTCCACTTTTGTGTGTGTGTGTGTGTGTGTGTGTGTGTGTGTGTGTGTGTGTG